ATATATCTAATTCAGAGACTAGAATGAACATGCTTTACGGTGTTTGCCAAGTGAGTGGTCACATATCTCATGGAAATCCAGAGTAAGTTTAGGCAAAAACAGAGTTAAGTCTTTTTTTTTTTTTTTTTACATTGGGTATATTTTAATATGAAACCATGTTAAAGTTTTAATCTATTAATCCACATTTCTATTAATATTTCCCATCCAGCATAATGCTTGGCACATTATACATTTTCAAGGATAACATAAGCCTGATAGAAATATAGTGATTTTTGTATGAGTTCCCATATTTCTATGTTGTTTTTCAGAGTTAAGTCTTGTTAGTACAGACTGGTTTAAGGTTCTAGATTCAAAGCCCAGCTCTAACTCTTAGGAGTCCTGTGACTTGTGGTAAATTATTTCCTCCTTGTCTGCAAAGTTGGGGTAACTCTAACACTTAGCCATAGTGCTGTTATAAAGATAAAATGAATTCAGTCCTTCAGCAAAAAATTCCTGAGGGCAGTGCCCTCGCACTGTTTTTATCTATAAGCACACCGGCTCAGACTAGGAGTTACATCTAGGATTTTAAGAAGTTTTAAGCTGCAGATACAAGAATGAATTTTTCATCAGGTCTCTGAGACTGTGGAGTTGAAAGGTGGCTGACCATACAATAGTATCGAATTACAGGAGCGTATTGTTGGAAGGAGCAGAAGCCATACACCTGCTGACTGAGTCGGCGGGCCGGTGAGCAGTCTGCGCAGGCTGGTAATTAATTTCTCTACACTCAAACTGGTTGTCAAGTTTTAACATTTCTTTCAGAACAAGATCCATGGAAACTTAGACAGCAATGAAAGCAAGAATAGAAACAAAGTATAAGGTGTGAATGGATATGAATATTGGTGATAAAATCATAAGAGAAGACCTCTTAAAGAGAGACCTCTTCCACTGGAAACTTTTGCCTTTTCTCAAGAGTCACACTTACTGAAATACATATTTTTATCAATTTTAAAAATCTCTAATGATTTGACCTTCTGAAGGGTGGGGTAGTGTTGAACCCAGTATGCACTGTACCACTCAGACACACACACACACACACACACACACACACACACACACACAGAGTGCTTTGTTTCTTAAACCAAGGTGCTGCTGCTGGTATGGAAGGAAATAAGGGAAGCTTGGATAAGATGACACAGCCAAAAAAAAAAAAGAAAAAAAGAAAAGAAAAAAGAAAAATGACACAGCTCCCTGAAGCATCAGGGTCTTCTTTTTCCTTCTTCTTCTTCTTCTTCTTCTTCTTCTTCTTCTTCTTCTTCTTCTTCGTCTTCGTCTTCGTCTTCGTCTTCGTCTTCGTCTTCGTCTTCGTCTTCTTCGTCTTCTTCGTCTTCTTCGTCTTCTTCGTCTTCTTCGTCTTCTTTGTCTTCTTCGTCTTCTTCTCCCCCTCCTCCTTCCCCTTGTCCTCCTTCTTCTATTCTTCAATTTTCCACATTGATACCAATAAGGATTTAAAAAGCAACTGCTCCTAGTGTTGGCCTCCTGCATGCACTCTGGCTGTTCAGGAGACAGGTTACCAAGCACCCTTCTTGGGAATAGGTTTGTCCTGTCTTCCACTATGGTCAGCCACAAGGAGTGTGGTTCCACACATGGTTTTATTTTTGTTTTCCTATTTCCTAACTTCTTATTCCTTTCTGTGATCTACTGAACCTAGAAAAATAAATTGTGTGCAAAATAACAAAATACACACCTATAATATTCAATAACGGAACTTAGAAAAATGGGGTATACAGATGAATGTCCATTTTGTATCTGTGTATTCAAAGTGGTTGGGATAGATATATAGTTACATTCTGTTAATGAATAGAATGA